CAAAGTCCCCCAGCACATTAGCTTATGGGCCCCCAACTCCAGGGCCCATCCATATTTTATTGCCCCCTCAAAATGGACTTTTTTGTGTTCCTTCTCCCCAGGGCAAAAGGGCCTTTATGCCCCCGGGTTTTAAATTTAATTGGGGGCATACTGGTTTTTTGAACTTTAACAATAACAAGTCTCTCAGTATCCAAGTCACCCCCAGCACATTACTCATATAGGCACCAACCCTCCATGGCCATCATTTTTTATTAAACCCCCTAAAATGGACAAATTAGTGTTCCTTTTCTCTCGGGGGCATAAGCCTATGCTCCCTGGTTTAAATTTTTTGGGTATACGGGAAAATTTTGGCCCTTTAACAATAAAAAGTTCTCAGTATCCCAAGTCACCCCCAGCACTTTAACTGAAATTGGGGCATCAATTTCCATGGCCTTCTATATTTATTGATCCCTCAAAATGGATTTTTTTAGTTTTTCCTTTCCTCTGGGGGGGCATAAGCCGGGGATCCCCTGGATTTGTTAGGTCCATCCGGGAATTTTTTGGAGACAAAAACCAAAAACCCAATCTCTTCAGAAACCCAAAGTCAGTCCCAGCCCCCAAACTGCATTGGGCACCAATCCAGGGCCCACCCATTTTTAAATTAAACCCCTCAAAATGGACAATTAGTTTTCCCATTCTCTAAAGGGGCTAAGCCTATCCCCCTTTGGTTTAATTTTTTGGGGGCATACTGGAATTTGGGGATTTTAAAACAATAAAAAAGGTCTTCAGTACCCCAAGTCAGCCCCCAGCAATTTCTTCATTTTTTCTTTAAAACCCCTTCCATACCCTCTTTATTTTCCTCTTCAGTTAAAGTCACCCCCAAAATTTGTCCAAAAAGGGTTTTTTAAAAACCCAATTACTTCCTCAGGGGCCCGGGCCTGTGCATTTAAGGTGTGCATTTATGGGCCCCTGAAGTAAGAACAATTTATTTTTTAATGCTTATTAATTATATTTTTAATAAGCAGTAAAAAATTTTTGGTGTTTTGGCCCGTTCGCAGAGCGGGGCCCTTTTTTAAAAACTGTCCATAAGGCCTTCCCTTAAAATTTTAGAAAGGTAATTCTGGACGGGCAATTTCCACGGAATTCGCACCCAGAAATTGCCCAAAGATTCACTTTTAAAACACCCTTTTCGGTATTGTTCCTTTGAGTAAAGGAACATTTGGATTTTCCATTTACATTAACCCCCAAAGCGGGTTCCGGGCCCCCCAAATTAAAACGGGTTCAACATCTTTCTCGATAGAAAATCTTGTACGGGGGTTGACCTTTCAGGGGTAAGACACCGTGCCCCGTATTCACTACTTCCTCTAGCTTTTATTACTAGGCGGTATTTGCCATATATTACAGGGCCCCGTACCAGTTTTGGGGAAGTGCCCCCTTAGGGTTTTGGGTTTAGGGCCCTTTACCCTTTAAATTTTTAAAAAACCAACCCCGGCAAGGGTCCCTCAGCTGGGCCATCATTATTCCCATTGCGCAACCTTTAATCAGTCACTGTAGTGTCAGGGTTATTAAAAAACATTATTTTCACCAAAATTTATAAAAAACCAATACAACCCTGCACATAACTGTTTTTGGTGTTTCCCTTTTTTGCATTGATAGCAACTGTTAAATTTGGTATGCCCACCCCTTAAAATTATGATTGCCCCTAGAATCTGTAAATCTTTAAATTTCTTTCATTTTTTTCCATTTTTAAAAATCCCAGGTTTTACGGGCATTACAATTTTTAGGGGAAATGAGTCCCCTGGCAAAGGGGCAGTCTTCTTCCTTCCCTGCCCCTCTTTTTAAAAGGGGTTACACTTACCGGGGGATTATTCCAAAACCTTTTGATGGGGAGGAACCACTTTTATGATTCGGGATTTATATTTTGCCTTTTTAAATTTTAAAACTATGATTTTTACCACTGGGTTTTAATTTTTCCCTTTGAGATTTGACAGATACTTCAGCTTCATTAGTTTTTAATTTTCCTTAGAAAATTTGTTTGGTTTTGGCGGGTTTCCTGCAATTGAAAAATTTAAATTTTCCTGCCGCCTGGGTCTGATTTCCTCCAGCCCGAAATAGGGAAAGGTTTTGGAAAAACCCCCCCTTTGCAATTAATGGTTGATCAACTCCCGGGGGCTTACCCCCTTTAATTTTTTTCCCAAAGCCTTATTTTAAAAGACAGTTTTTCTTCCCAATTTCGAAAGTTGAAAAATTAAAAAAATTTTTTTTTTCCTTTCCCATCGCAAAAATTTCTCCACAGTCTCTTTCAAAAGTTTTTTAAACCACAATTTGTACCAACAAATCTACTCTTAACATTAAATTTAATTTTAATTCTTAGGGTTCACGGTTCTTTGATTCACAAAACCCAAAATCCCTTCGCCCCTGGTTTTTTAATACCCTGTAAAATGCTTTCTTACTCTAAAATTCCCCGGATTTGTCAGCAAAATTAACCAAATTAACCCATCAGGGTTAAAGAGAATTATAACATGATTATACAATTTAAGTAGGCCCTTTTATAAGATAATTCTTGCACTTTACCCCTTGTAAAAATCCAAAGCCCCCAAATGTGTTTTTAGCAATTTAAATTTGGGGCTAATTTTTCATCCTAAACAGATCGATTAAATTGTGCCCCCTAACCCATTTCCCTTTCAATCAGTCATTTAAATTAAATTAAGAAAATTAATTAAATTTAAATTTTTTTTCACTGATTGCACCCGGGGTTTCTCGAAGGCCCCAAGGGGCAGAAGGGAAAAAATTTTTAGGGTGCTTACCTGGGATGTAAACCCCAACATTATATACATACCAGTTAAACTCATTTGGGGGAACCCTCATTTTTGTTTTACCGTAGTCACCCCGTGTGACATGTGAAAAAACTTTTAACCCCCCCTGGTTTGGGGACCCCAATGGTCCCCCGACCTCACCCCCCTTTTTCCATTTTCTATCCCCAGACCTATGGAAATTTGGGGAGCCCCCCACAAGTACGGGGCTACTAATTATTGTGGACTGTATAGTTTTATTAGTTTAGCTGAATGAAGGGGAGGGGGGTAGGAACCCAAAACCTGGATACATCCTCAAGGAAAACATTTATACATTAAACCCACCACTTTCCAGCTGTTCCCGGGGTCCCCTTGATGTGCTTGGGTCACTTAAAAACCTATCTTAAAATTTTAAAAAAAAAACCCAAATGGCCAGCCTAAGGGGGCTATTAAAATAAAGGGGTTTCTTAACTGTGGGTTTATTGAACTCCTTATTTCTTCCATTCACACCCCAGTTTCGATTCCCGCTACCCCCGCCCCGGTTTCCATTCCGGCAGCCGGGGGTATCCTCGGACGTCCCCGGGTTTGAAGTCTGATTTTTATAAATCTCCATTATCCCCGGGACAGAGTCACAAAAGTTCCAAACCCGGAAACAAGGCCCCTCTATTTCCCCAAACTCGCTTTTTCTTAACCAATGTTATTTTTCCTGATTACATTTTCTATACACAAGACATTTTAAATCCATTTAACCCATTATTTAAAACAAAAGGTTTACTTTCCCTTAAGATTGAGACCGATGAGTTTAAAGATTAAACCAAGGTAATTTTACCCCCGGACACAGCCATTGGACGCGCAGTCACCCGGTTCCCACTCTTATCACGCTTTTACCAATATTTCCATGGGGCCCCTAAATCACGTTCCCCCACTCCCACCCGGAAAAGGGTTTCGACACTTCTTTTTTATTAAATAGGTATATTAATCCTTTGGCCGCCCGTGGGAAAGTCAATTTCGTGGGTTTTCCAATGCTTTTCAGGGTTCCTTTACCCATTTAAAACAATCCCCGCCCTCTCCCCCCCCCACATCCGCGCATGCGCCCAAAAGGGGAAATCTTTGGTTTTTACTCTTATTTTCAAATACATTTTTGACCCTATAAAAACATTAAAAAACCTATTAGGCCTTTTAGTTTCGGGGGAAAACCAAAAAAAATTTTTCCCCATATAAATGATTTTATTTACAGAAAAAAACACTTTCAGGCATTATTTATTTTAAAAAAAACAGTAACTGATGTATGTACATACTGTGGGGTGAGTGATGGGGCAGTGTTTCTTTTTTTTTTGGGTCGCCTTGGCTTGGCAGGGACAACTGGTATGGAAATAAAAAAAAAAAATTGCAGTTATTTTCTACTACTTTGTCCGGGAAAGCTCAAAATATGGGAAAAAATTTTTTAAAAAAAAAAAAAAAAAAATTTGCCAACATTTTTTTTCCCGGCATTGTTAATTGCCCTGCATGAGGTTATAAGACCGCGCCAGGGACCCCAAAAATAAACAGATAATTTAACCATAGTGTTTAGACCTAAACCAAAGTTTGTTTTTTTCAGTTTGTTTATTCATGGGTTTAAATTAAAAAGTGTTTTTATTTATTTTATTTTAAATAGCTTAAACCCAACATAACCCAAAATGATGAACGGGACTACTTGAATTTCCATGAAAATAGCCATTTAAAACCCCCTCTGTTTCCCCCCTGCTGGGCAAATAGACACTTCCTAAAATACTGAGCACATTGAACAGGTGACTTAAGTTCATTTTGTTCAACTGTCAGGACCTCCTAAGCAATGCTTAAAATATATTAAAAACTGATTTTGAATTTTTGTTTGGCAAAAAATATAAAAGGTAATAATTAAATGTTGCTCCTTGGCAGCATTCAGTTTGTATTCAATTAGTGTATGACCCTCATAGGTTTAGCGCTTCTTTTTTATTATAATTATAATTCAGTTAGTGTGCAGATGTACAAGATGTGATTAAGTTTTTACAAAAATAGGATAGGGTTTGTGATTTTGGGGAATACTGTACCTTATAGAACACTGCTGTATGCTGTAATAATAGTAACTAATAATAATACTACTACTACTACTACTAATAATTTAATCTTTTGTTATTTGCTTTGCATGGAGTAAGAGAGCATGTACTGTACTAAATTTTGGTAGATTTATGTTCTATTTTGTGTTTTCAGTTTGAACATTGGCCATGTGTGTGTCAAATGTGAGGTTGGCAGCTGATGCGTACTTAGTGTGTCTTCATCATGCTCTCACAACAGAGAAGGAGGAAGTATTGGGACTTTTAGTTGGAGAGTTTAGTGAGGTACTGTCTTGCATCTTGTTCTGGATATTTAAAGCTAACATTCTTAGTATGTTTTCAACACCTTTTCTTTATTAGTTCACAACTATTACAGAAATTTATTAGTTCACAACTATTACAGAAATTTCCCTTCTCTATTATTGATTTATTTTTTTATTACCATACACTGTATGTAGTTATCATATCCTTTTTCTTCCTGTTGGTTAATGAAGGCGTATTTTATGCTTTCAGTATTGCATTGTCATATTTTTATTTAGCTCTTGGTGCCTGTTTATAGCTCATGGTTGGACTTTTTCCAATCTTGCCTACATTTTTGAGGTGCATTTACCATACCACTATTGCATATTCCAATTTTAATTTACCGTGTTGCAAGATTTTTTTTAGCATTTTCCCATCTACATATCTAAAGATTGTTTTAAAGTTTGATAGTGTAATAAAATATAAATAAATAAATAATTTTATTACATTATCAAACTTTAAAATAGCAAAGTGTCATGCATTCAGATTATGATAATGATGTGGATTGTTACAGCTGGCAAGATGGTGATTGAATGAATGATGATGAATGCAGTTCCTTTGGGCTAAATGGATGTTGAGGTAAAAAGTGTGGAATTTCTAATGAAGTTTCGAATATTTTTTAATTTATCCAATGGTCATTCTCGTTATGTTTGTATTTTATTCTGATAGGGTACAGAAGTTGTGTGTGACATTCATTCAGCTGTCACCCTTAGGAGATCTGACAAGCGAAAGGACAGGGTAGAAATTTCTCCAGAGATGCTTATTGAGGTAAACACCATATTATTTGCTGCTTGATATACAGGATGTAGCTAGAGTCCGCATTAATCTGTGCATTTGTTAGTGATATTAATAAAATTGTAATATCAAAACATATGAAGGCACACAGCAGTAGGCCTAATGGCCCATTGCTAGGCAGGTCATATTGTTACACAGTTACACACTCATTCCTAAGTTATATTTTATGAATTTATAACCATGTTATATCTTTAGACAAAAGCTTAAGTTGTTTATAATCTTTGCAGGCCCAGCAGAGAGCAGAACAGATGTCAGCATCAAGTGGCCAAGAGCTACATATAGTTGGATGGTATCACTCTCATCCTCACATTACAGTGTGGCCTTCTGATATTGGTGAATATTTTCACACTGCTAATGTTGTGTTGTGTCTATGAAATTACCAAAAACAAGGAGAGCTTGATATACTGTACTGTATATGTACTTCTTATTGTAGTAGATCTTCAACACCTTTTCCCATAGGACATTCCTTTTGATTTGACAGTCATAACAAATATTAGGAGGAGGTGTGGAGTTACTAAAAGTATTAGTCAGAGGGCTGAAGAGGGGTTGTTAAGGTGGTTTGGTCGTTTAGAGAGAATGGATCAAAGTAGAATGACTTGGAGAGCATATAAATCTGTAGGGGAAGGAACGCGGGGTAGCAGTCGCCCTTGAAAATATTGAAGGGGAAGGTAAAGGAGGTTTTGTGGGTGAGGGGCTTGGACTTCCAGCATGCATGTGTGAGTGTGTTAGATAGGAGTGAATGGAGACGAATGGTTTTTGGGACCTGACGAGCTGTTAGAGTGTGAGCAGGGTAATATTTAGTGAAGGAATTCAAGGAAACCGGTTATTTTTATATAGCCAGACTTGAGTACTGGAAATGGGAAGTACACTGCCTGCACTTTAAAGGAGGGGTTTGGGATATTGGCAGTTTGGAGGGATATGTTATACAGTATATGCTTCTAAACTGTTGTATCTGGGTGCCCCTCCAAAGACAGTGATTATGTGTGAGTGAGGTGAAAGTGTTGAATGATGATGAAAGTATTTTCTTTTTGGGGATTTTCTTTCTTTTTGGGTCACCCTACCTTGGTAGGAGACGGCCGACTTGTTGAGAAAAAAAAAAAATGTACTGCCATTCATCCTACCATTTGCCACCATTTTAGCATGTTCTTGGTTCTTTATTATTTTGTGATGCTTTTCCTGTAAATAATTTTACACTACATTTTACCCTGAAGTGTGTTGGTCTTCGGTCCATGAAAGACAGTGCTACAACATATACTGTAAGACACACCATCTAAAGGGGACATACCTGGAGTTTACCTGGAGAGAGTTCCGGGGGTCAACGCCCCCGCGGCCCGGTCTGAGACCAGGCCTCCTGGTGGATCAGAGCCTGATCAACCAGGCTGTTGCTGCTGGCTGCACGCAAACCAACATACGAGCCACAGCCCGGCTGATCCGGAACTGACTTTAGGTGCTTGTCCAGTGCCAGCTTGAAGACTGCCAGGGGTCTGTTGGTAATCCCCCTTATGTGTGCTGGGAGGCAGTTGAACAGTCTCGGGCCCCTGACACTTATTGTATGGTCTCTTAACGTGCTAGTGACACCCCTGCTTTTCATTGGGGGGATGGTGCATCGTCTGCCAAGTCTTTTGCTTTCGTAGTGGGTGATTTTCGTGTGCAAGTTCGGTACTAGTCCCTCTAGGATTTCCAGGTGTATAATAATCATGTAAACTCTCCCTCCTGCGTTCCAGGGAATACAGGTTTAGGAACCTCAAGCGCTCCCAATAATTGAGGTGTTTTATCTCCGTTATGCGCGCCGTGAAAGTTCTCTGTACATTTTCTAGGTCGGCAATTTCACCTGCCTTGAAAGGTGCTGTTAGTGTGCAGCAATATTCCAGCCTAGATAGAACAAGTGACCTGAAGAGTGTCATCATGGGCTTGGCCTCCCTAGTTTTGAAGGTTCTCATTATCCATCCTGTCATTTTCTAGCAGATGCGATTGATACAATGTTATGGTCCTTGAAGGTGAGATCCTCCGACATGATCACTCCCAGGTCTTTGACGTTGGTGTTTCGCTCTATTTTGTGGCCAGAATTTGTTTTGTACTCTGATGAAGATTAATTTCCTCATGTTTACCATATCTGAGTAATTGAAAATTCTCATCGTTGAACTCATATTGTTTTCTGCAGCCCACTGAAAGATTTGGTTGATGTCTGCCTGGAGCTTTGCAGTGTCTGCAATGGAAGACACTGTCATGCAGATTCGGGTGTCATCTGCAAAGGAAGATACGGTGCTGTGGCTGACATCCTTGTCTATGTCGGATATAAAGGATGAGGAACAAGATGGGAGCGAGTACTGTGCTTGTGGAACAGAGCTTTCACCGTAGCTGCCTCGGACTTTACTCTGTTGACGACTACTCTCTGTGTTCTGTTAGTGAGGAAATTATAGATCCATCGACGACTTTTCCTGTTATTCCTTTAGCACGCATTTGTGCGCTATTACGCCATGGTCACACTTGTCGAAGGCTTTTGCAAAGTCTGTATATATTACATCTGCATTCTTTTGTCTTCTAGTGCATTTAGGACCTTGTCGTAGTGGTCCAATAGTTGAGACAGACAGGAGCGACCTGTTCTAAACCCATGTTGCCCTGGGTTGTGTAACTGATGGGTTTCTAGATGCGTGGTGATCTTGCTTCTTAGGACCCTTTCAAAGATTTTTATGATATGGGATGTTAGTGCTATTGGTCTGTAGTTCTTTGCTGTTGCTTTACTGCCCCCTTTGTGGAGTGGGGCTATGTCTGTTGTTTTTAGTAACTGTGGGACGACCCCCGTGTCCATGCTCCCTCTCCATAGGATGGAAAAGGCTCGTGATAGGGGCTTCTTGCAGTTCTTGATGAACACAGAGTTCCATGAGTCTGGCCCTGGGGCAGAGTGCATGGGCATGTCATTTATCGCCTGTTCGAAGTCATTTGGTCATTTGGCGTCAGGATAACATCGGATAGGCTTGTGTTAATCAAATTTTGTGGCTCTCTCATAAAAAATTCATTTTGATCTTCGACTCTCAGTCTGGTTAGTGGCTTGCTAAAAACTGAGTCATATTGGGACTTGAGTAGCTCACTCATTTCCTTGTTGTCATCTGTGTAGGACCCATCTTGTTTAAGTAGGGGCCCAATACTGGACGTTGTTCTCGATTTTGATTTGGCATAGGAGAAGAAATACTTTGGGTTTCTTTCGATTTCATTTATGGCTTTTAGTTCTTCCCGCGATTCCTGACTCCTAAAGGATTCTTTTAGCTTAAGTTCGATGCTTGCTATTTCTCTGACCAGTGTCTCCCTACGCATTTCAGATATATTGACCTCTTTTAGCCGCTCTGTTATTCTTTTCCGTCGCCTGTAAAGGGAGCGCCTGTCTCTTTCTGTTTTACATCTACTCCTCCTTTTTTAGAGGAATAAGCCTTGTGCATACATCGAGTGCCACCGAGTTAATCTGTTCTAGGCATAAGTTGGGGTCTGTGTTGCTTAGTATATCTTCCCAGCTTATATCGGTTAGGACTTGGTTTACTTGGTCCCACTTTATGTTTTTGTTATTGAAGTTGAATTTGGTGAATGCTCCCTCGTGACTAATCTCATTATGTCGGTCTGGGGCTCCGCGCATACATGACTGAACCTCAATTATGTTGTGATCTGAGTATATTGTTTTTGATATGGTGATATTTCTTATCAGATCATCATTGTTAGTGAAGATGAGGTCTAGTGTATTCTCCAGTCTAGTAGGCTCTATTATTGCTGGTTTAAATTGAATTTTGTGCAGAGATTTAAAAGCTCGGGTGAGTGTGAGTTTCATCAGAGCTGCCTCCTGGTGTTTTTACTGCAACAATTTTATTTGCTATATTCCTCCATTTTAGGTCCTTAATTTGAAACCCCAGGAGAAAGAGTTGGGTCAGGGCGGGAATTTTTTCCCGACAGTGGTAAATTTTTTAACAGTGTTCTGGAATTGGGATGTTGCACCGGAGGCTTGTAACTACAAAATGACTAGGTTTTGGTTTCGATTTTTACTGCAAATTCCCACTACACATTTAGGCTTTTAGCAGTTCGTGCAAACAAGTGATCGAAATGTACAGGAAACCCCCCCCCCTTTTCCCTGTTCATCTGAACTCTTATGGGTTTTTAACCCGGGGACCATATTTCGTTGCCCCAAGTGATCCTTTTTATGTGGGTCTCAGTGAAAGGCGAACATTGCCTTTGCCCGAACGCCCCACGGATAAAGGGTATTTTGTTGTTTGTTCTGGCTTTGACCCCTGTATTTTTGCAAAAGAAAGTTTCGGTGTGGTATTGTTGGTACTGGGGGGGTTTTTTTTTCCGGCTTAGTACTGTATCTGTTTTTTGGAGTGGGGGCCCATCGACATAAAGATAAAGATCACTAAACCCCGGGAAAAAATCAAATACTAACCCACTCCATTGACAGAGTTTTTTATGCCGGGGAAAAAAAACAAGGACAAAAAAATGACAAAAATATTACAATTGGATCACTCCCGGTGGGGGAGGCAAAAACAGTGGCCTCAATTCGAACAGTAGATATTATCCACAACAAAGCCCCCCTAAACTGTCATATGACAACATTTTCTTTGCAGATTCAGGTTTGAAGCCATCAAAAAAAACAAAATACCCTTTAAAAAGTAACTACCACAGAGCAATCAGTGGCCCCCGCCTTACGAACCCACATTTCGTTTAAAACCCCATACGAAGCATTTGAACGCAAAAATTTTCCCCCCTCACGATAAAAAACTTTCCTTACGGATTCTCTTGGACCTCCCCCGTGTGGCGGCGCCAGTGTTTACAAGCCAGCCAGGCGTCCATCTCCCAAAAATTCGGAAATTCCATTATCCCCCGTGTTTTTTTGCACTTGTAACGCAAAATAAACACCCTGGGCCCAAAAAAGCTTCTGTGCCCTCCCTTGGAAAAAGGGCAAGAAAATTTGTATGGAATTTTAAAAAAGATTAAGGAAATGTTTTCAAAGTTTTGAACTCAAAAAACCTTTTCGGGTGAAAAATCAACCCCGCACAGCTATGCACACCCGGTTCAACCCCTTTCAATGACAATGTTTGGCCCATTTAGGGAAAATCTTAAAGGAACGGGAGGTAAGAGCCTAGGACAGTTTGTTGTGCGACAGAGGTCCAGTGACTTTCAAGCTGGTCCTAGTGGCATTAAAAGAAGTGAAGTAACCCCAGAAAAGGACTTGCTACCTCAAGTCCTAATGGAAGGGGATTCCCCTTCAAAACAATAACTTCCACACTCTCCCCTCCTCCCATCCCATCAATCACCACCAGATCTTCAATAAAGGTAAGTGTCATGTATTCTATTCT